CCTGACCATAGACATGTGTTGTCATTTGATGAACGGGATCACATCATTAGGAGAATGATGCGATGGGCAGACCAATCCGTTAGCTTAGCATAATGATCGTTAAGTTTTATTGCTATTGCTTTCTTCATGACTTATACATATTCCTCGGACTATGAGATTATGCAACTCCCGAATACCGGAGGAACACCTCGTGTGCTATCAAACATCACAATGTAACTGGGTGATTATAAAGATGCTCTACAGGTATCTCCGAAGGTGTTTGTTGGGTTGGCATAGATCGAGATTAGGATTTGTCACTCCGAGTATCGGAGAGGTATCTCTGGGCCCTCTCGGTAATGCACATCATAATAAGCCTTGCAAGCAATGTGACTAATGAGTTAGTTATAGGATGATGTATTACAGAACGATTAAAGAGACTTGCCGGTAACGAGATTGAACTAGGTATGAAGATACTGACGATCGAATCTCGGGCAAGTAACATACCGATGACAAAGGGAATAACGTATGTTGTCATTATGGTTTGACCGATAAAGATATTCGTAGAATATGTAGGAACCAATATGAGCATCCAGGTTCCGCTGTTGGTTATTGATCGGAGAGGTGTCTCGGTCATGTCTGCGTAGTTCTCAACCCTTAGGGTTCGCACGCTTAATGTTGATGATGATTTTGTATTATATGAGTTATGTGATTTGGTGACTGAATGTTGTTCCGAGTCCTGGATGAGATCACCGACATGACGAGGAGTCTCGAAATGGTCGAGAGGTAAAGATTCATATATAGGACAATAGTATTCGGACACCGGAAGTGTTCTGGGGTTACCGGGTACGTATCGGGTCACCGGAAGGGGTTTCGGGCAACCCCCGGCAAACTATATGGGCCTAATGGGCCAAGAGTTGGACAGACCAGCTCCAAAAGGGGCTGGTGTGCCCCCTATAGGCTGAATAGGAGGAGAAGGAAAGGGGAGGATTCTGCCTCCCCCTTTCCTTCCCCCCTCTCTTTCCTTCCCCCTCTGATGGATATGGAAGAGGGGGGCCGACTTGGAGGAGGCGCCCAAGTAGGATTACTCCTACTTGGGCGCCCCTTGCAGCCCCTTTCCCTCTCCCACCTATATATATGTGGGGTGGGGCACTGCTAGAACACACATCAATTGTTCCAAGCCGTGTGCAGCGCCCCTCTCCACCGTTTACTCCTCCGGTCATATTGTCGTAGTGCTTAGGTGAAGCCCTGCGCGGATCACTTCACCATCACCGTCACCACGCTGTCATGCTGACGAAACTCTCCCTCAACACTTTGCTGGATCAAGAGTTCGAGGGACGTCATCGAGCTGAACGTGTGCAAAACTCGGAGGTGCTGTATGTTCGGTACTTGATCGGTTGAATTGAGAAGATGTTCGACTACATCAACCGTGTTAAACTAACGCTTCCTCTTTCAGTCTACAAGGGTACGTGGACACACTCTCCCCCTCTCGTTGCTATCCTAGATAGATCTTGCGTGATCATAGGAATTTTTTTGAAATTGCATGCTATGTTCCCCAACAGTAGTAGTAGTCGACGGGGTGGCATCTGGCTCCTTGGATCCACCACCTGATCGCAGCAACCGGGTATAGGGGAAAAGCGATAGCAAAGCAACCGTGAGTACCCATCCAAAGTACTCGCAAGACTTACATCAGGTCTATACTAAGTATGCATCAGTATCAAAGGAATGAGCTGTATCTGTGGACTGAACTGACCGCTCAATCTGTTGAGTGTGTCTTTGTAGGATACATCGATGAGCATAAGGGTTATCGGTGTGGGGATCCTACCGGTCAGCGGATACGTATTTCCCAGGATGTGACCTTTGATGAGTCTCGTCCTTTCTATCCATGCTCATCCTCCTCGACCTTTTCTATGGAGTACATCTCTTTTCTCACGTTTCCTGATACACCTCCCTTTGTGCCCCATATTCCTACCCCTTCTCCCTCCATTAATTGTTGCCGATATGGCACCTTCCTCTCCCACAATTTCTTCTCCTTCCTTGTCGCATGACTCTCCACCTTCCCCATTTTCACCTTCATCCCTGATATCTTCCCCAACTACACCTTCATCAATGATGCCTTCCTTGTCAGCAACGATGTCTTCCCCGTATCCATCTCCGGTGATTCCTACCCATCCCTCTTTTAATTTTGATTACAATCGTCGTCCACGTGTTGTGGATGCGTCCACTGATGCTCCATCTACTTCTGGTGTGCCGCCTACCTCTTCTAAGCTGACTTATGGTCTTCTGGCTCGACCTTGTCCTCCTCCTGACCGCTATTCTCCTTCCCAATATAGTCTTTCAGCTGTACTTGAGCCTACCACTTATCGCGATGCTATTGTTCTTCCTGAATGGCAGCTTGAGATGGCAGAGGAGATTGCTTCACTTGAGCGCATTGGCACGTGGGATCTTGTTTCTTTTCCTCCCCATCTTCGTCCCATCACTTGTAAGTGGGTCTATAAGGTTAAGACTCGCTCTCGTGGTTCTCTTAAGGGTTATAAAGCTCATCTTGTGGCTCGTGGCTTTCAACAGGAGCATGGTCGTGATTACGATGAGACTTTTGCTCCCGTGGCCCATATGACCACTATCCGGACACTTCCCGCTGTGGCTTATGTTCGCCATTGGTCTGTGTCTCATCTTGATGTCAAGAATGCCTTTCTTAATGGTGAGTTGCGTGAGGAGGTTTATATGCAGCCACACCTGGGTATTCTGTTCCTGATGGCATGGTTTTTCATCTCCGCCGCTCTCTCTCTCTTTCTATGGTCTTAAGCAAGCCCCCGACGCTTGGTTTGAGGCTTTTGCTTCTGTGGTGACTACAACTGATTTTTCTCCTAGTGCTCATGATCTAGTGTTGTTTGTCCACCTCTCTGCTTGTGCCCGCACTCTTCTTCTTATTATTCTTCTTCTTCTTCTATATGTTGATGACATGATCATCACTAGCGATGATCTTGAGTACATTGCCTTCGTCAAGGCCCGTCTCAGTGAGTAGTTTCTTAAGTCTAATCTTGATCCTCTTCGTTACTTTCTTGGGATTGTGGTTTCCTCCACCTCTAATGGATTTTTTATTTCCCTAGAAAAGTATATCCAGGATCTTCTTGCTCGAGCGGATCTCAGTGATGATCACACTATTGAGACTCCTATGGAGTTTAATGTTCACCTTAATGCTTCTGATGGTGAGCCCTTGTCTGATTCGACTCGTTATCATCATCTTGTTGGGAGTCTTGTTTATCTCGCCGTCACTCGCCTGGATATCTCTGATCCTGTCCATATCCTGAATCAGTTTGTTTCTTCTTCGACTTTGGTTCACTATAGCCACCTTCTTTGTGTTCTACGATATCTTCGTGTCACGATCTCTCACCGTCTCTTCTTTCCTCATTCCAGTTCGTTACAACTCCTGGCCTATTCGGATGCTACCTGAGCTAGTGATCCTTCAGATCGTCGTTCACATTCTGCTTACTGTGTCTTTCTTGGTGGTTCTCTCATTGCCTGGAAGATGAAGAAATAGACCGTAGTTTCCTGTTTGAGTGTAGAGGCTGAGTTGCGAGCCATGGCTCTTCTCACGGCAGTGGTGACTTGGTTACGCTGGTTACTCAAGGATTTTGGTGTTTCTGTTACTACACCTACTACACTCTTGTCAGACAGTACATGTGCTATCAGTATTGCGCGAGACCCCATGAAGGATTGATGCTTTCTTTGTGCGCGCTGGTGTGCAGAACCATGTTATTGCTCTTCAGTATGTGCCTTCCGAGTTACAGCTAGCGGACCTCTTCACGAAATGCCAGACTAGAGCACAACATGAATTTTAGCTCTCCAAACTCAGTGTTGTAGATCCACCATGAGTTTGAGGAGGATGTTAGAGTTACATTTGTATTGACATTGGACTTTCTGTATTTTGGCCTTTGGCCTATGTTACGTACTTGTTATATAATGACTTTGGCCTCTAAGATAATACTACATTGCATATTCCTAGCAGAAACCAGAGCAATTGGAACAGGAGGAGCAACTTTAAGCTTATTGGTAGACCAGTTACTTCAAGTAGCATAAGACATCATTTCTTATTGTATTTCTTTGGTATTGCAGACGCAGATAGATTTCTCTACGGACACATCATTTACTTGGTATCTATAATATCAGTTTCTTTTGAAAAATAAACTATACGGGCACATTGTTATTGAAGGAGGCAGTATATTGTAGGGTTTGGTCCTCCAGTCCTTTGCACGGGTAAAAACCAAGCCGCCTTCCGGTTTGGGCACTGCGGCGCTCCTGTGCACCAGGTCCGTCACAGCTCTCGGCGGCTTGTCCGTAGCAACCGCCAACCGGGTCACCCGTGGCACAGCTACATCGGCACGTGACGGTAGTAGCAGCATATACTATACCGCTCGCCCGGCGCCGAGACCCACCCGCCAAGCACCAACCGCCCGCCCCACACGGGAAGACCGCACGCAGCTCGCTCGCGCGCAATTTCCCGCGAAGAACCCCCACGATCGCGCCTCCTCCCCGACCCCAGCGCATGCATCTACCCCCCCGCCTGGCGCAGGCGTGCGCGCTCGCATGCGGCCACAGTGCCGCGGGCGCGTAGTGGCGCCCCGCGCGGGCCGGCCAAGTACGCCGGCGCCCCGCGCCCGCGCGACACGTACGACCCGTTCCCTTCCCCCTCTCATCTCGTCTCCCGCTTCCTCTCCTTCCTAGCTAGCTACAGTGAGTAGCTGCTGTTAATTATACTAGTAGTAGCTGGTAGTACTCCTGCTCGGAATCTCTCGGCTCGGACGTCGTACGACCACCTATAAGCTCGCTCGCTCGCGGCCTCCACCGTTTCATTTCCCACGTAATCCTATCGTTATCTCCTCCCACCCAGCCCCAGCCCCACTCCGGCCCCGTAACACCCAGCGAGCAGAGCACAGCACCCACCACCGGCACAGCCGCGCGCGTGGGTGGGTGGAAAAAAGTAGAGAGAAAGAACAGGAGAGAAGGAAGAAAAGGAAAAAGGCATGGCCGCCACCGCCGCGGCCACCGTGACGGCGACGGCGGCGGCGTCGAGCTGCAGCAAGCGCGAGAGCGCCGGCATTGCGGCGCCCGCCGACTTGTCAGTCTCCCGCTCCCTTCCTTCCTTCCACCCACGGCACAGCGCTGACCGTTCGAGGCTGTGCTGCCGCGTATGGAATAGTTCTTCTGCTCACTCTTTGGCCTCTTTTTGTTGTGGTGTGCAGGGCGAAGAAGGCGAAGAAGGGGAGGTCGCCGCCGGCGGAGGAGATGGAGGGCTTCTTCGCGGCGGCGGAGGGCGACGTCGCGCGGCGCTTCGCTGCCAAGTGAGTTCTACCGCACATGCATGCGTCAGGCAACAGCTTCCTCCTATACTCTTGGGGAAAAGCCGCCGTGGATTTATATGGGAGTAGCTAGCTAGCAATGCATGCGCAGCAGTGGGCCTGTAAATTCTGCTCTCGAGTAACATGAGGCCTCTGCTGCTCAAGATCTGGGGTGTCAGTCAGTTTGGTGTTGCACACAACACACGCACACTCACACTGTAAAAAAAACGCAAGCATGTGCTTTGCCCTCCAATTCTCTGTCGCCGTTTTTCTTTTTCTCTTGATTGAAAAGGCCAGCTGCTGGTGCTAGTGTATGAAGGAATTTGAACAAAATCACTACACATATAGACTGTTCTGAGCACACACACAAAAAAAGGTAATTCGGGGGATCTTGGTTTTTGGCATTTGTCAAATTAGCTCAAGCAATTATATTTCCAGAAACAAAAAGTGAGGTTGGCAGTGCAGTACTACTCCTGTTCTTTTCTAACGTTTGGATCTTGCGCTTTGGATTGAAGGTACAACTATGACGTCGTCGCAGACGCTCCCATGGACGGGCGGTACGAGTGGGTCCGACTGAGGCCGTAGGAAGGAGGGATATGCCGCCGCAGCCAGTCAAGCGTCAGAACTCAGAAGCCCGCACAGACAGACAGACCACGTTGTGTCCTTTTTAATCAATTCTTTTGTAGTTACCCTGTCATGCTTTGTTAGCTGTAATTATTGCTCACGAGATGCCTAATCATGTAAAAGCTCACCATGTATAAGTCGCCAGTGGATGCCCTGTTTCACCTGTAGCTAGCTTCGCTTTTATTTAACTTGTCGTCATATGTTTTGTTTCATCAAGAAAAACAAGGCGTCGTTATCTGTGTACATTGTCTCGTAGCAGGAGTACTTTTGTTCTGACACTGCATATCTCAACACATCATAGCATGGTAAGTCCAGCCTACTTTCAAAGCAAAAACAATCAGAGCTAGGACAAATCCGACCCGTGAACATTTCTAGACGTACCCGGACATGATCCGAGACAGCGCCCACGGCCCCTTAAATGCCCTACTGCACATCACACTGCTCGTATTAAAACCTCAAATCCATGCACATCGATCATACACATGAATCGCATAAATAGCATTTGTTCATAGCAAAAAAAAAATACATAGTTCAAACATAAAATTTATTTTGAATGCACAATTCAAACATTAAACTCCTTGTTTCTATTATGTGTCTGCATATGCTCCACAAGCGCGCACATCTAGATCCCGAAGATTCCGATACATCTTCAGAAAGTTCACAAATATGCTTCACATCATGTTTCGGGAGGCGGACTTGTACTCTTGGCTTCTCAAAATCATGTGTTCGGGCTGCCCCTTCACCTTCACCACCCTCGACAATCATATTGTGCAAAATGACAAAACATGTCGCCAGCTGCCACAAAGTCTCTGATTCCCATATCATTGCAGATCCACAAACAATACCCAACGAGTTTGAAGCACTCCGAATGCCCTCCCCATATTCTTCCTAGGTACTTCTTGCACTATTGTAAAGATGGCTTTGTTTGTTGCCATGGGGATCGTATATGGTCTTCACAAACGGAGCCCACTAAGGATATATACCATTTGACAAAGTAGTATCCCATACGTTATAGTTGTGCCCATTGACGATGTAGTTGTATGGCGACGCATCCCCATCACAAAGTCTTGTGAACATCGGAGATTGTGGAGCACATTGATGTCCTTGTGAGAACCAACCATGCCAAAGAAAGCATGCAAATCCACAAGTCCTTTGATGCCACTGGTTCTAGTATGATGGCGACCTCTTTCGAGTGGCCTTGGTACATCTCGTGCAAACCTTTGAGGCAATTTTTCCATTGGCAATGCATGCAATCAACTGAACCGAGCATACCTGAAAAACCCCTCGTTGCTCCAATAGTCGTCAACCTTTTTGTATCCTGCATAGTTGGTTCTCTCAGATACTCCACTCCAAACACCTTCACCACGACGCAGGAAAATCTCACAATGACATCAATGCATGTGCTCTCCCCCATCCGAATCATCTCACCAATGGCATCGGTGACGGTACCTAGTGCAAACATCCTCAGAGAACCCGTGCATTTCTGCAAACGGAGAGAACGAGAGTTGTCCGCAACAATCCTTCTTGAGATCAAAATAGGGATCATGTGCCTCCACTCCCTCCCCCATGTGGAAGAACAAGGGTTTGCACATACGAAAGCGTCTACGGAAACCGGTTTCAAGGAATGCTGGTACGGGTTGGCAGTAGTCCTTGTAGAGCAGTCGTGCATCTACGATCCTAGTTTAGAACTCTCCTTCCTTTGATTGAACCCTTGAAGTTTAGAATGTGCTCCACGTCCCTTCATTTCCGCCGATCATCATCATCATCATCAACTCAACTTCTTTGTCGTCCAAATCCGACGAATCGATGGACCCTTTTTGAATGAATTCACCAAGCTCCTTGTTTCGATACTCCTCATCCGACTAATAGACGAATCAATCGTTTTTCCTACAAAACATAAAATATGACAGGAGGAGCGGGAATACCATGGCAGTGTCTGTGTCCGGGTGACGGTGTCCTGGATTAGGGGGTACTCAACACGTCGTCTCCCGAACAGGTGTATCGGGTCGAGGACCCCTATGGCAGTTCACTCATGGGCCACTTCGGGCAACCCATGCCGCATACAAGGAGGATTCCATAAGACTTGGCGCCCAAGAAAGGACTCCTCTAAACCCTAGGCCTCCGGTGTGTTATATAAACCGAGGCCAGGCTAGTCAATAGAACATCTTATATTCATTAGATCAATCTTGTGGTAGATACACGTACTCTGTACTACACCCCATATGAATACAATCAAAAGCAGGACGTAGGGTTTTACCTCCATTAAGAGGGCCCGAACCTGGGTAAAATCCCGTGTCCATGTTACCATTGCTCCAAGATGCCTAGCTTAGGTCCCCTACTACGAGATATGTTGGATATAGAACCGACATTGGTGCTTTCATTGAGAGCCTGCTGGCAGTCGCCATGGTGCGATGGGAATTCAGATCGTCTCCGGCGCGATCTACGTGTCAGAGCCGAGCCTTATTGTTGATGTTGGCATCTTCGTCGTCGGCTCGATTAGTCACCTTAGCTCGACCGAGGACTGTGCTCCGTCTCAAATCATTATGTTCGGAGGAGGGCCTTCATAATCAACTCCGATCTCTATCAAGATCATGGAGGAATCATCGATGAAGATCGGGGGCTCAACGTCAACATTGCCCCCGGGAGACCGTGCTGTTTTTCTGGACAGCAAACCTATATCCGCCAACACCACCTCCTCGAGCGTCACTTTGATTATTGCTTCAGTGAAATTGTGTGGAATTGAGTGTACAACAACCCTGTAAAATTTTGTCGCGTTCCGATGGAGGAATCTTCGACGATCTATGATATATTGGAGGCCTGTCGAGTCTTGACAGGAATCTGGACAAGTTTAGGGCGTGGTCTTCCAAGCCTAGCTCGGTGGTCATTTGGTAGATCCAACCGTTCATTTTCTGTGAAATTTCCTTATCTACCACCTCTCAAAATTTCAGCCCGATCCAACCGTTCAAACTCCGGGAACCTTCCGATTAGTGCATCACTTTTCGGATCTGTTTTCTGCGCGAATACAAATCTGACCTGAGTTCATCTTTCTTGATGAACGGGATATTGGACAACCTTTTTGGAAGTATGTCTTTCTAGGGTATTTTGCATTGTTCTTAAACACGTGCCCATAAAATTTTAAGCCTTCTTTGAGGTATTCTTCACCATCACGCTGGTGTCAAACCAGTCCGGCAACATTGCTCCATGGTTGCCGACCTGCGCTAGACACGTCGTCGCTTTGTTGAGCCGAGCTCAACTTCTTCGGATCATCATCTCGGCAAGCTGAACAAGAGTACGACATCACGAAGGATAAATCATCACCAACATCGCAGCCCCACGGATTACACGGAGTGGGCACACCGGCATCGTCGCACGGTCACTTCATCAAGCTGACATTGACCGCGTCACAAGTCACGACCTGCGTTGGCATGGCCGAACTGTTGCTTCTTCAAGCCAATGTCCATCGCGCCGAACTGCTTCAACACCTCGGCTGACATTGCAGCTGCAACGTCTCCTTACCGACCCGCTCCGTCACCTCGGCTAGACCGGGGGCTTCGCCATCTCTTCATCAACCTACTTCGGAGACTTCGGCGTCACCAGCCGACCAGCTTCGTCACGTTAGCTGGACCGAGGGCTTTGCCTCGGCGAGCCAACCTTTGCCAGCATCGCCATGCTGTCGCTTCATCGCCCATCAGGCAATGGGTGTGCGGATCGAGTCCTAATTTTGGGAGTAAACTTTCTTCAGATTGCTACAACAGATAAACCAGGTGCAATTAATCATAGTAATTTTTTCTTGCTTGGGTTTACTTTTTCCGAGGAATTATTACTCTGGTTTTTGTTCCATCATCTGTACACATGTCTGTCAAGTGATGGCCGCATTAATGATGGTTGCGTGACGGTTCGGTCAGTTTCCCGTCTGTAGTTCGGTGAACGCCTCATTAGGGACTCAGACTGCCCTATGAATACAGGCTTTGTCACGCCAGCGCCCTGCACCGACATTGGCTTCTAAGCCAGGCCACATCTCTTTAGAAAAAAACTTATTTTGCATAAAATAATTATCGAGGTTTTTCTTCTATATTTATATTAATATTTTTTGGACCACACTATTTTACATGTGTAGGTAATCGACTTTGACTGCGTCACGCGGTCACTTCGGCAAGCCGACACCATCGTCCCAATCAGCGTAAATTGGCTCACGTGATCACCTTGTTGATCGAATTGCCATACCAACATGTTCGGTTGCCTCGGGGACTTCGGCATCGCTGAGAGAGCTCTACCTCATCGAGTGTTGGGCACATGGGTCATATTTCTTTTATTACTCACTTTGCATAAATAATTAATTATGCAAGGAATTTTTATTTTATTTTATTATTACTACTATTATCTCCGGCTTGCACTATTTTTTGTGCACAACTAATGATTCGGGTTGGGCAGCGTTGTCACCTTGGCGTACCGATGTACCACGTCACTTCGGCTGGACCGGGGCTTCGCCATCACTCCATTAACCCACATCACGGACTTCGGTGTCATACTGTCGGCCTGCTCCGTCGCCTCAGTCGGACTGGAGGTTCCACCCAACCACATTAGCCGTGCTATGTCGCCACTTCGGAGTGCCGAGCTATTTGCTCTGCCACCTCGGGACCGGCTCAGGGGCTGGGACCTCGTCCCGCCATAAGCCCAAGCCGCGCATCGACACCGAGCACATTAACCAGCTAAGTCACTTCCATGCTCAGTTTTTTTATTCTTGTTCTATTTGACCAAAAATTATATTTATGCTAAAATATGTTTGTCAAAAACGAGGTTCGCTAAAAACCACTTTTCTTTGCCCGTGTTAACTGGGGCTCTTAAATTTATATGAGCCATTTTATAATAATTGTTCTTCTTCTAAGGTGTTGCAAAGTCTTTTTCTACCACTCCTTTTTCGACTCGAGTGTGTGGTCAATAGCCGGATAGCCTGTTTTGTC